CATGCTGTTCATTCAAAATAGGAATGTTCTCAGATCTAGATTAATTTTATGTATTAGCATATTATGCGTAGGTTAGGTTAGGCGTTTGGGTTCTGTTGGCAATTACTTGTAGTACGTGGGTGAAGCATTTACAGCGTTGTAGTTCGAACAGAGGTCGTCAGTGAAGCACTGTTCGAGAAGTGTTTGAACGTCATCAGCTGTGAGTCGTGTGTAAAGCGTTTTTCATCAATAAACGAGATTTGGCGGGTGGAGAGTACACTTTAGTCCTCGACTATGTTGAGGACTAAAGTGTACTTGTTGGCTGGTCAGTAAGCTTATGTGGCGGTTTTATAACCTACCAGAGGTTGATAGGCCTTAATAATCCTCCAGAGACTTATAGGCCTTAACCCTCCAGAGGTTGATAGGCTTTAAATAACTCTCCAGAAGTTGATAGGCCTTAATAACCCTCCGGAGGTTGATAGGCCTTAATAACCCTCCAGAGGTTGATAGGCCTTAATAACCCTCCGGAGGTTGATAGGCCTTAATAACCCTCCAGAGGTTGATAGGCCTTAATAACCCTCCAGAGGTTGATAGGCCTTATTAACCCTCCAGAGGTTGATAGACCTGAAGCTCATCACTAAAGAAAAATAATACATTCACAGTTATATTATAATACAATAAAAATACATTCAATCTGTATAAAGCTGAATTAAGCGTTAGGCCTCCATGCAAGTTTTATGTGACTGAATAACTCATTATTTAAATTACCGGATAAGCTTAATTATATGAATTGCTCTCGCATGAAAAAGAGAGAAATTGCATAAAACAATCCAATAAAAGTTAGATGAAAGGTTTTATGTGAGAGAATGTGAACGTTGGCGCTGGTGAGGCTAGGCTCTCTGTGTGTGCAATATTGGTGTGAATACTGGTCACCCATCACTGGTGACGGGCGCTCTCTCTCTCTCTCTCTCTCTCTCTCTCTCTCTCTCTCTCTCTCTCTCTCTCTCTCTCTCTCTCTCTCTCTCTCTCTCTCTCTCTCTCTCTCTCTCTCTCTCTCTCTCTCTCTCTCTCTCTCTCTCTCTCTCTCTCTCTCTCTCTCTCGGCCAAGTTCCTTTGCTTGTTAAAAACTGTGCGTTGTTATTTCTTTTTACATGCTTTAACTTTGGCGTGAGCTATAGCGGGTGCTATATATACACACCTGGAGCATCTATATGTACCCAGCTGTACATGTGTGGGTGTGCAGCTCTGCCTTGAGTTAGTTTCGACGTCTCTCTCACCTTCACTATATATTAACAAGACTTATGCTAAAGATTAGTCTATCCTAATTAGTCTATCTGTCAGGGGGGGGCCTGACAGCTGAGTGGACAGCGCTTCGGATTCGTAGTCCTGAGGTTCCGGGTTCGATCCCCGGTGGAGGCGGAAACAAATGGGCAAAGTTTCTTTCACCCCAATGTCCTGTTCATCCAGCAGTAAATTGGTACCTGGGAGTTAGACAGCTGCTGCGGGTTTCTTCCTGGAGATGTGTGTAACAAAAGAGACTGCTTCCTGGGGGTCTGTAACAAAAAGGAAGCCTGGTCGAGGAAGCGGGCCGCGGGGACGCTAAGCCCCGAAATCATCTCAAAATAACCTCAAGACAGATCCAGACTATCCAGCGCACGGGTTCGAACCCTCACCGAGGCCCTTGTGGATTTGTTCCAAAGATTAGTCTTATGACATCTCTGTGATTCATGTGTGTCTCCTGTTGCCATCCGCGTCCCCCTCGTTCTGGCGTTCCTCGCTCTCAGCAGTATACTGCCTACTTGATTAGTGTTGCCCCCTTAAAATCTTTCATGTCGTTATCATGTCTGATTTGACTATATTTTATTGTGGTTATGGGGCGGTTGCCACTGTCCTGCAGCACACAGGTGGTGCAGGACAGGTTGCCACTGTCCTGCAGCACACAGGTGGTGCAGGACAGGTTGCCACTGTCCTGCAGCACACAGGTGGTGCAGGACAGGTTGCCACTGTCCCGCACCACACAGGTGGTGCAGGACAGGTTGCCACTGTCCTGCAGCACACAGGTGGTGCAGGACAGGTTGCCACTGTCCCGCAGCTCGCCACCCAACCTTGGCGTGTATCTTCGAAACTGTACAGGTCTTCTGGCGTGAGGTGGGCGGCTGAGGCGGCACCCTGGAGGGTGGCTCTCGTGATGTGTGCAGCGCTCAGAGGCACTCTGGCCGAGTGCCTGCTGGCTCTCCTGACGTCTGCCAGCTGCACATATGCTGCTGACGTCTGCCAGCTGCACATATGCTGCTGACGTCTGCCAGCTGCACATATGCTGCTGATGTCTGCCAGCTGCACATATGCTGCTGACGTCTGCCAGCTGCACATATGCTGCTGACGTCTGCCAGCTGCACATATGCTGCTGACGTCTGCCAGCTGCACATATGCTGCTGACGTCTGCCAGCTGCACATATGCTGCTGATGTCTGCCAGCTGCACATATGCTGCTGACGTCTGCCAGCTGCACATATGCTGCTGACGTCTGCCAGCTGCACATATGCTGCTGACGTCTGCCAGCTGCACATATGCTGCTGACGTCTGCCAGCTGCACATATGCTGCTGACGTCTGCCAGCTGCACATATGCTGCTTACGTCTGCCAGCTGCACATATGCTGCTGACGTCTGCCAGCTGCACATATGCTGCTGACGTCTGCCAGCTGCACATATGCTGCTGATGTCTGCCAGCTGCACATATGCTGCTGACGTCTGCCAGCTGCACATATGCTGCTGACGTCTGCCAGCTGCACATATGCTGCTGACGTCTGCCAGCTGCACATATGCTGCTGACGTCTGCCAGCTGCACATATGCTGCTGATGTCTGCCAGCTGCACATATGCTGCTGACGTCTGCCAGCTGCACATATGCTGCTGACGTCTGCCAGCTGCACATATGCTGCTGACGTCTGCCAGCTGCACATATGCTGCTGACGTCTGCCAGCTGCACATATGCTGCTGACGTCTGCCAGCTGCACATATGCTGCTGACGTCTGCCAGCTGCACATATGCTGCTGACGTCTGCCATACGTACTAGATCATCAGCCTCTAAAGGAACCTTCCACCCTTGTGGTCAGCACAGACAGTTCCCAACAGAAAAGACCCAAATTCGATTCCCGCGGCAGGACAAAACCGTTTGGGCACGGGTTTCGTCCCCCCCATCCGATGGCTATGCTGAGGTAGCAGTAACCAGGTACCAGGGAGCAGGTATGTCACACCCTGGGGGGGGGGGAGATCATTGTCTTGGGACAGGGACCGCAGGCTTCCTGTCCCCGACAATGATGCATCTTACAGTAATTCTCCGAAGAGTTAACAACCGTCCCCTCGAACAGTAGTACATCGCTTTTTCGACGTATTCCCCCAACGGTCAAAATATAATGTACTAGCAAAATTGACAGGCTGTCCCGTTTGCTATCTTCGGGTCCTCGGGTTGGTTAGATTCTGGTCGTTTAGTACACCACTTTTGTGACGTTGTGACATCTGGAGAAGCCGGGCTGATATATCAGCGTCTGTGATATATCAGTCCGATGAAGTATATCGGAATATATGGTTATATTTGGTGAGATGGTGACCATTGGTCTGGGACACCATCGGTCCTGTCAGCGTCGACCCCAAGCTGAAGTAGAGTTAAAGGCTCCATTATTGTGAGTTATGATATCGTTCACGTCTCCTGGTCCACCCGTGGTCCACTACCCTGGTCCACGGCAGTGGTCCACGGCAGTGGTCCACTCGTGGTCCACGGCAGTGGTCCACTCGTGGTCCACTCGTGGTCCACGGCAGTGGTCCACTCGTGGTCCACGGCAGTGGTCCACCCGTGGTCCACGGCAGTGGTCCACCCGTGGTCCACGGCAGTGGTCCACCCGTGGTCCACGGCAGTGGTCCACCCGTGGTCCACAGCAGTGTTCCACGGCAGTGTTCTACGGCAGTGTTCCACAGCAGTGGTCCACGGCAGTGTTCTACGGCAGTGTTCTACGGCAGTGTTCTACGGCAGTGTTCCACGGCAGTGTTCTACGGCAGTGTTCCACGGCAGTGTTCTACGGCAGTGTTCCACGGCAGTGTCCCACGGCAGTGTTCCACAGCAGTGTTCTACGGCAGTGTTCCACGGCAGTGTTCTACGGCAGTGTTCCACGGCAGTGTTCTACGGCAGTGTTCCACGGCAGTGTTCCACGGCAGTGTTCCACAGCAGTGTTCTACTGCAGTGTTCCACAGCAGTGTTCTACGGCAGTGTTCCACAGCAGTGTTCTACGGCAGTGTTCCACAGCAGTGTTCCACGGCAGTGTTCCACAGCAGTGTTCCACAGCAGTGTTCCACAGCAGTGTTCCACGGCAGTGTTCCACAGGAGTATTAAACGTGTGTCTCCGAGTGTCTCCATGTGTCTGTGTGTGTACACTTATCCTCCTGTGTGTGTGCTGAGGTGTACAATTATCCTCATGTGTGTACAACAACTTGAACCTTGATGTCAGTGTTAAGTTATGTGTAAACTAAAGGTTAGTTATGTAAACTTCCGTACACCAGAGTGTACCTGAGTGTACCAGAGTGTACCTGAGTGTACCAGAGTGTACCTGAGTGTACCACAGTGTACCTGAGTGTACCAGAGTGTACCTGAGTATACCAGACTGTACCTGAGTGTACCAGAGTGTACCTGAGTGTACCAGTGTACCTGAGTGTACCAGACAGTGCCGAGGTATACTTGACTCTAATTAGGTAAACCACTCAGGTGTATTTATTGTCTCAACATAATAATAATAATAATTATATCATGTCCCTAATTATGGCGAAGCTAAGTTATTAAAATGGATTTAACGAATTTGGGAGAATTGGTAGTTTGTTGCTAATTAATGCATCGTTAATCATCACCTTTTTTTTCCATTTGTCCTCGGAACATTCAATTATAAAATGTTAATTAATCGCTCAGCTTTCAGCCTATGTGTGAAGAATTAATGACACTCTAATCTTTGATTGGTTTGTTGGATTGTTTTCCTGGGGGTCACTGGTCTCCAACGGTACCGTTGTGGTGGTCTCCAACGGTACCGTTGTGGTGGTCTCCAACGGTACCGTTGTGGTGGTCTCCAACGGTACCGTTGTGGTGGTCTCCAACGGTACCGTTGTGGTGGTCTCCAACGGTACTGTTGTGGTGGTATCCAACGGTACCGTTGTGGTGGTCTCCAACGGTACCGTTGTGGTGGTCTCCAACGCTGCCGTTGTGGTGGTCTCCAACGCTGCCGTTGTGGTGGTCTCCAACGCTGCCGTTGTGGTGGTCTCCAACGCTGCCGTTGTGGTGGTCTCCAACGGTACCGTTGTGGTGGTCTCCAACGGTACCGTTGGTGTGGTCTCCAACGGTACCGTTGCGGTGGTCTCCAACGGTACCGTTGTGGTGGTCTCCAACGCCACCGTTGTGGTGGTCTCCAACGCCACTGTTGTAGTGGTCTCCAACGTCACCGTTGTCATGGTCTCCAACGCCACCGTTGTCATGGTCTCCAACGCCACCGTTGTCATGGTCTCCAACGCCACCGTTGTCGTGGTCTCCAACGCCACCGTTGTCGTGGTCTCCAACGTCACCGTTGGTGTGGTCTCCAACGTCACCGTTGTCATGGTCTCCAACGCCACCGTTGTCGTGGTCTCCAACGTCACCGTTGGTGTGGTCTCCAACGCGACCGTTGTCATGGTCTACAACGCCACCGCTGTGGTGGTCTCCAACGCCACCGTTGTCGTGGTCTCCAACGCCACCGTTGCCGTGGTCTCCAACGGTACCGTTGTGGTGGTCTCCAACGGTACCGTTGGTGTGGTCTCCAACGGTACCGTTGCGGTGGTCTCCAACGGTACCGTTGTGGTGGTCTCCAACGCCACCGTTGTGGTGGTCTCCAACGTCACCGTTGTCATGGTCTCCAACGCCACCGTTGTCATGGTCTCCAACGCCACCGTTGTCATGGTCTCCAACGCCACCGTTGTCGTGGTCTCCAACGTCACCGTTGGTGTGGTCTCCAACGTCACCGTTGTCATGGTCTCCAACGCCACCGTTGTCGTGGTCTCCAACGTCACCGTTGGTATGGTCTCCAACGCGACCGTTGTCATGGTCTACAACGCCACCGCTGTGGTGGTCTCCAACGCCACCGTTGTCGTGGTCTCCAACGCCACCGTTGCCGTGGTCTCCAACGGCACCGTTGTCGTGGTCTCCAACGCCACCGTTGTCGTGGTCTCCAACGCCACCGTTGTCATGGTCTCCAACGGCACCGTTGTCGTGGTTTCCAATGCCACCGTTGTCGTGGTCTCCAACGCCACCGTTGTGGTGGTCTCCAACACCACCGTTGTCGTGGTCTCCAACGCCACCGTTGTCATGGTCTCAAACGGCACCGTTGTCGTGGTCTCCAACGCCACCGTTGTCGTGGTCTCCAACGCCACCGTTGTGGTGGTCTCCAACGCCACCGTTGTCATGGTCTCCAACGCCACCGTTAACAGTTCTAGCCTCTTATCTAATGTATGATCCTCTGTCCAGTGTGGTAGGGAATATATGCAACATCCTCATTGCAATAAGAGCTAAGTGAACTATTCCAATTAGAGAAAATTGCATATTAATTTTGTCACTTAACACCGCGACCCCATTTCGCTTCCAACAGCACTGCCTCTGTTACCCGTTACCGCCCCCGCCCCCCCTCCTCCTGGGGCTGTCTTCTCCCGTTTAGCTTTGTCTCTGCTTGCCTCTGGGTTTCTGTGTGCCTGTATGTATGTATGTATGTATGTATGTATGTATGTATGTATGTATGTATGTATGTACGTATGTATGTAATGTTGCGGAGTTCAGCCTGTATTCCCCCTATTCCCGCATATAAGTCATATTTCCCTATCTGTACAGATCTTGAAGAAGTTTTAGTTGATTTTGTGACACTTGAAAGGAAGCAAGGTGCTGAAGTTGGACGAAATGACGATTTTAAGTTTAGTTGGGATGAGGCTAGGAGACGACTCCATCATCAAATATGGCGGTGCAGCTCGCGAGAGAGGAGAGCCTTCCCGCTCGAAGGTGATCCCTAGTGCATGCTGGGTACAGCATCAGGTGTGGCGTGATTGGTCGGCGGCCGGGGCTTAGCCAGTTTGACCAATGGCGTCGCGCCTCGGGCGTGACGTAACATGACCTCAGGCGCCCCTGCAGAGGAAGGCGGGAAATCTGACTCACTGGCTACCAAGGGTCTTGGTGAGCGGAGGTGCGCTCAAGCGATTACCCGTTCTGGAGATGTATAGGCCTCCAGAGAGTGTAAATTCTATCAGCAACCTTGTGCTAACGAAGAGGGGAGGCTTGTCGACTCCCGAAGGAGTATGAGGTAGTGCTGGATTGTGTGGAGATGGCACCTGGCGCCAAGGGAGGAGGATATGCAACGGTCGGGGTCAAGTGAGGAGTCATTCACCTACAAGAAGACCTCTCAACGTTGTGGCTCGGTGAAGCGCTACGCTGTGCGCCTACGATTTACGAGTGTATGATCTATAAGGTAGTTCAATTGCCCTCCCATTTTCCTCCTCGTGTTAGGAAAGGTGATAATCGGAAAGTACGAGTAAACAAACCATATTTTACTACTGTGTTTCCTTCCTCTTCATTTCTTTTATATGAAGAAGAAGAAGTTCTTCATATCTGTTGAGGAAGCATTAGACTAGGAGAGGTGACATCCCACTGTGATGCAAGTACTTATCTAGATGTACTCACCTACTTGTGCTTGCGGGGGATGAGCTCTGGCTCTTTGGTCCCGCCTCTCAACTGTCAATCAACTGGTGTACAGGTTCCTGAGCCTATTGGGCTCTATCATATCTACACTTGAAGCTGTGTATGGAGTCAGCCTCCACCACATCACTTCCTAATGCATTCCTTTTGTCTACTACTCTGACACTGAAAAATTCTTTCTAACGTCTCTATGGCTCATTTGGGCACTCAATTTCCACCTGTGTCCCCTAGTGCGCGTGTCCCTTGTGTTAAATAGTCTGTCTTTATCCACCCTATCAATTCCGCTGAGAATCTTGTATGTGGTGATCATGTCCCCTCTAACTCTTCTGTCTCCCAGTGACGCGAGGATTAATTCCCGTAGTCTCTCCTCGTAGCTCATACCTCTCAGCTCGGGTACTAGTCTGGTGGCAAACCTTTGAACGTTTTCCAGTTCAGTCTTATGCTTGACTAGATATGGACTCCATGCTGGAGCCGCATACTCCAGGATTGGTCTGACATATGTGGTATACAAAGTTCGAAAGATTCTTTGCTCAAGTTTCTAAAGGCCGTTCTTATATTAGCCAACCTGGCATATGCCGCTGATGTTATCCTCTTGATATGGGCTGCAGGGGACAGTTCTGGCGTGATATTAACCCCCAGGTCTTTCTCTCTCTCTGACTCTTGAATTATTTCATCTCCCAGATGATACCGTGTATCTGGTCTCCTGCTCCCTACACCTATCTTCATTACATCACATTTGCTTGGGTTAAACTTTAACAACCATTTGTTCGACCATTCATGCAGCTTGTCCAGGTCTTCTTGACGCCTCAAACTGTCCTCCTCTGTCTTAATCCTTCTCATAATTTTGGCGTCGTCAGCAAACATTGAGAGGAATGAGTCTATACCCTCTGGGAGATCATTTACATATATCAGAAACAGGATAGGTCCGAGTACAGAGCCCTGTGGGACTCCACTGGTTACTTCACGCCAATCTGAGGTCTCACCCCTCACTGTAACTCTCTGCTTCCTATTGCTCAGGTATTCCCTTATCCACTGGAGCGAATTATCAGTTACACCTGCCTGTTTCTCCAGCTTATGCATCAGCCTTTTATGGGGTACTGTGTCAAAGGCTTTCCAAAAGTCTAAAAAAAATGCAGTCCTCCCATCCTTCTCTTGCTTAATCTTTCTCACCTGGTCGTAGAATTCTATTAAGCCTGTAAGGCAAGATTTACCCTCCCCGAACCCATGTTGATGGGTTGTCACGAAGTCCCTTCTCTCCAGATGTGTTACTAGGTTTTTTCTCACGATCTTCTCCATCACCTTGCATGGTATACAAGTTAAGGACACTGGCCTGTAGTTCAGTGCCTCTTGTCTGTCACCCTTTTTGTATATTGGGACCACATTAGCCGTCTTCCATATTTCTGGTAGGTCTCCCGTCTCCAGTGACCTACTATACACTATGGAGAGTGGCAAGCAAAGTGATCCTGCACACTCTTTCAATACCCATGTTGAGATTCCATCCGGGCCGACAGCCTTTCTCATGTCCAGATCCAACAGGTGCCTCTTGACCTCATCTCTTGTAATTTCGAACTCTTCCAAGGCCGCCTGGTGTGCTGCCCCCCTCCTAGTGCTGGGACCTCACCTTGTTTTATTGTGAAGACCTCCTGGAACCTCTTGTTGAGTTCTTCACACACCTCTTTGTCATTCTCTGTGTACCTGTCCTCGCCTGTTCTAAGTTTCATCACCTGTTCCTTCACTGTTGCTTTCCTCCTGATGTGACTGTGTAGTAGCTTTGGTTCGGTCCTGGCTTTATTTGCTATATCATTTTCATACTTTTTCTCAGCTGCTCTTCTCTCACTAACATACTCGTTCCTGGTTCTCTGGTATCTCTCTCTGCTTTCTGGTGTTCTGTTATTTCGGAAGTTCCTCCACGCCCTTTTGTTCAGTTCCTTTGCTTCCATACATGCCCTATTAAACCACGGATTCTTATGCTTCTCGTTTTTTTCCTGTCGGGCCGGGATAAACCTGTTTACTGCCTCCTGACACTTTTGGGTGATATAGTCCATCATGTCTTGTACGGACTTGGTTCTGAGTTCTGTGTCCCATGGTATATCCCTTAAAAATTTTCTCATCTCCTCATAATTTCCCTTTCGGTACGCCAGCCCTTTGTTTCCCAGTTCTTTTTTTTGGGAGATAATTCCTTGCTCTGCTAGGTACTCAAAGATCAATACACTATGACCACTCATTCTCAAAGGGGCTTCCGATTTAACTTCCCTTATATTCCACTCATTTAGGGTAAATATCAGATCAAGCAAAGCTGGTTCATTCTCTCCTCTCATTCTTGTCAGTCCCTTGATGTGTTGACTTAGAAAGTTTCTTGTTGGCACAGAAAAGTATGGGAGTGGTTGAGTTATCTCACTTACCGGGGGGGAAGGGTGCAAGGCTGGGTTCGGGGGGACCTCTGCTCTGCATTTCGACACTGAGGTGCTCCCAGAGGTAAACAGTGGCACCTAGAGAGGGCGAGTAAGGCCCCATAAATGAGGAGCTCATTGAATAACAAGGCCCCATAAATGAGGAGCTCATTGAATAACAAGGCCCCTTAAATGAGGAGCTCATTGAATAACAAGGCCCCATAAATGAGGAGCTCATTGAATAACAAGGCCCCATAAATGAGGAGCTCATTGAATAACAAGGCCCCATAAATGAGGAGCTCATTGAATAACAAGGCCCCATAAATGAGGAGCTCATTGAATAACAAGGCCCCATAAATGAGGAGCTCATTGAATAACAAGGCCCCATAAATGAGGAGCTCATTGAATAACAAGGCCCCATAAATGAGGAGCTCATTGAATAACAAGGCCCCATAAATGAGGAGCTCATTGAATAACAAGGCCCCATAAATGAGGAGCTCATTGAATAACAAGGCCCCATAAATGAGGAGCTCATTGAATAACAAGGCCCCATAAATGAGGAGCTCATTGAATAACAAGGCCCCATAAATGAGCTCATTGAATAACAAGGCCCCATAAATGAGGAGCTCATTGAATAACAAGGCCCCATAAATGAGCTCATTGAATAACAAGGCCCCATAAATGAGGAGCTCATTGAATAACAAGGCCCCATAAATGAGGAGCTCATTGAATAACAAGGCCCCATAAATGAGCTCATTGAATAACAAGGCCCCATAAATGAGGAGCTCATTGAATAACAAGGCCCCATAAATGAGCTCATTGAATAACAAGGCCCCATAAATGAGGAGCTCATTGAATAACAAGGCCCCATAAATGAGCTCATTGAATAACAAGGCCCCATAAATGAGGAGCTCATTGAATAACAAGGCCCCATAAATGAGCTCATTGAATAACAAGGCCCCATAAATGAGCTCATTGAATAACAAGGCCCCATAAATGAGGAGCCGGTTTGAATACTACTGATAGGTTATAAAAATCCCTCTGTATCAGTTACTGGTTGAGATCTCCCACAATTATAATATGCTGACAGTTGTGGTGCATTACCAGAGTCCCTGGTGGTGTTGACTAGGGACGCTCCCTGCCACTGAGGTCTGTAAACTGTTCACACTAGAACGATCATTCTGAGAACTTGAAGATATAGAGTTTGAAGAGTATAATTTCAATATTAACAGGGATAGCAACATCAATAGGTTGAACTTGTACGGATTTACTGAAGCAAACTGTAACTCCCACTCTGATAATCATGACGCAGACGTAATGAGACCTTATTGAACAAATTCATTTACGTCGTGATACTCCTATCACGACGTATCTGTGAGGTATAACCGGCAATCATAACAAAGTTATCAGGAATACTATTGAACAAAAATGTTTCCAGACCAATAGTCCTATCGGTGAGTGTTTACAAAGTTGTGTGTGAGATCACCAACGTTGGTGGTGAAACCCGGTGTTGGCGGACTTGGTGCTGAAACGTTCGCTCTACGTGTTTGCTTGTTGCTAGACTGTTGTGAGTGGAAGCTGTCCTTGTGGCTGGTGGCTGAAGGTATAAATAGCTGTTGTCCTGGAAATGACCCAGAACCACGTGCAAAGCTTGGGTGTGTATAGGTAGGTGGGCGACGTGTGAGTACACCAGTGATGAGTACCTCTTAGGCTGCTCTGATATTATACCTCTCTCTCTCTCTCTCTCTTCTCTCTCTCTCTCTCTCTCTCTCTCTCTCTCTCTCTCTCTCTCTCTCTCTCTCTCTCTCTCTCTCTCTCTCTCTCTCTCTCTCTCTCTCTCTCTCTCTCTCTCTCTCTCTCTCTCTCTCTCTCTCTCTCTCTCTCTCTCTCTCTCTCTCTCTCTCTCTCTCTCTCTCTCTCTCTCTCTCTCCCTCCTTGACACAATATTTGCACACACAATAAGGCTCTGGAGACAGTGTTGTCACAGCAGACCAGGAATTGAAAATGGCTCTTTTGATTTGACTTTGGTGTTGTTTCAGTGTAGAGAATGTAGAGTATTTTCTGTATCTCTTTGCTACTCTGGCTGCTTATGTTTTAATATGTAATAGAGCTTGCAGGTCCAGGCTCAAGCTCCTGAGCTCTTTCTGTCCGGTTGTCGGTCGTGTCTTATTCAGTCAATCCAGACAGACTACTTTTAGCAGTGTTTTAGTAGTAGTTTTAAAACTACTTTAGTTTTTGAGACTACTCTAGTAGTGAATCTTTTTTTCGGTAATTTTTCAGGTCATATTAATATTAAAAATTGTGAATCGATTTGGCCTCGACAACTTCTTCGTCTAGTCCATTACATTTATTTACAACGCTTAGACTTAAGAAGTTCATTCTGACGGCACAGTGACTTATTTTGCCTCCAGTTTCCAATTATGTCGCTTTCTTCTACTGCCAATCACTTAAAACCTTATTCATTTATTTTATCAATTTTGTTTATAATCTTGTACGTCTTTATCATATCTGCCCCAATTCGTTATTTTCTACAGAGTGGTGAGGTGCAGTTCCCTAACACAGGAACGAGACTTCTTGTACATCTTCGGTCCCTTTCAAATTTTCTTTTGTGTTTTTAGGCAGGGATTTCATGCTGGAGCAGCATATCCCAGAACGGGTCTCACCGAGGATGTGTACCCTTGACCGAGTTTCTGAAGGACATCGAGGCGTTCTCCAGTATGGCATTTGCTCTCCTCGTCATTTTGTTGATGTATCCCTCTAGTTTTAGATCTGGAAATATGTCTACGTCTAAAACTAGGGAAGTTACCTTTCCTACATCCTGAACTATATTTGAGGCCTTATCATTCCTGTTACTATCCTCATAACCTTGCATCTATCTCGATTGAACTCCAGTAGCCATTTCTTAGACCATATCTGGAGACTAGTTTATCTTTGTAGAATTTTACTTTCCACTGACTGCAATTGCATGCAGCGTTCTCACATTTCTCTGGCTGACAACTTCAGCAAATGCCAGACGAGTTTAGCGAGTACAAGAGCAAGCCTTCAGGGTCTGGGTACAACACTTGGTCAAGTGAGGATCTTCCTGCGGGTCCGTCCTTGTCGACATACTAACTTGGTCCCAATTCACGCTGGTTGTGAGTCATCTTCCATGAAGAAGCACTCTAAACAACTTTTCAATGGATCCTCGTCAAATGTGCAACTTAATAATTTTAGCCTTTTAGAGTGTTGAAACTGGAATAAGAGCTAGCACTGGAAGTAACTATGCGAGTAATAGTATTTAAAGAGGTTTTAACCATTGTTAAGTTGTAAAACTTAACAGCGTGTATTAAAAAATGTTTACTTGCTAATACATTGGTGCTTACGTAATTCTAGATTGGTGTCGTCAAAGATAATATTATGTCAGGGAGACACTGGGATGCCTCAGCTAACCAATCACACGGTTCACTTATAGACAACTCTTTCTTAACACTGTTAGACAATCAGTCATTAACATGGCTTTTCTAACACCGCTCAGCAGATTTCTAGATATTACTACTGCTCGGCTTAGACTCGGTTACAAGTATCTCTGGGAATTTTCATTATCTGCTGATGTAGACCTGACCAAATGTAAACTGTGTCAACAAAATTATTTGCACACCCTCCGTCACTATGTGATGGAGTGCGAAAAGATACGTGAATTCAGAGCAATTCTATAACAAATGTTTAAGAGATGTGTAAATATTTCATTCAAAATGATCTACTACCAGAAATTTTAGCCAAATATCCTAAGTTTGCTAACTGTAGGTAGTAACTAAGTGATTGTAGCCTATCCACCGCTGCCCACTGGATGGGGGGCGGTGTGCAGGACAAACATATCAATTGTGACACTAGCTCTCCACATATGTCAGTTGCTTAATTTAGAACCTGTACTTGAGGTCGATCTCCAACCCATTGTTGATGTGGCGATGTGCACTGAAGTTTGTAACTAGCTCATTATAATTGTAACTTTCTTAACTAAATGAATTGTGGGGTTCAGTCCCTGAGCCCATTATGTGCCTCTGTAACCCTTTCCACTACCGCCCACAAGATGGGTATGGGGTGCAGAATAAATGAACTAACTAACACTGCCGGTTGTCATGGAAACACAGAAGTCCCAGCTGGATACTCGATCAATCAATATAATGACATGCATTATCAAGACAATACTAACCTGTCACGCTGACAGTTAATTAACATGCACATATATCTAAATGTTCCATTCACTTGGGCTCTAGGAGGCTCGAACTGTGAACCCCACGTGTGTGAAGCCGCAGCTCTATCAACTGGGATTTATTTCCAGGAAAGTGTGGATGACAATTTATATATGTAAATGTGTCATGTGTAAAATACTCATTGTGACAAGTGGAGCAATTATAATACCTCACAGATGATCACTTGTTAGTTACTTGGTCTGTCTTTAAGTCAGATCTACACCTGTTGCAGGTGGGTTGTAAGGTGAGTAATATCTGGCTGATCAAACAATTAAGGTGCACATAGGTGAACAGGCGCCACATAGGGTATACAGGTGAACAGGCGCCACATAGGGTATACAGGTGGGCGGGCCGCCACATAGGGTATACAGGTGGGCGGGCCGCCACATAGGGTATACAGGTGGGCGGGCCGCCACATAAGGTATACAGGTGGGCGGGCCGCCACATAGGGTATACAGGTGGGCGGGCCGCCACATAGGGTATACAGGTGGGCGGGCCGCCACATAGGGTATACAGGTGGATGGGCCGCCACATAGGGTATACAGGTGGATGGGCCGCCACATAGGGTATACAGATGGATGGGCCGCCACATAGGGTATACAGATGGATGGGCCCTCTATGTGGAATGGCAGCCGGGCGGCGCGTCAATAACAGCTGAATAACATTCTTTTATTCATATTTTTATTTATATATTTATACAACATGTAAGAACTGTGTTCCTTTTGGACAGGTCCTTACTCCTATGTTTCTCGGAACACGACCCGCCAAATCGTTTAACAACCAGGTACCTATTCACTGTCGGGTGAAAAAGAGGCTATAGTTAATGAATGACGCCCAGTCAATCCTCCTCGGCCAGGATACGAACCCAGGCCAAAGCGCTCGCGAAGCGCTGAGCGAGTGTTTTACCACTGTGCCACGGGGACTGCATGGGGCATCAGTCTCTAATAACTTACAGGGAATACTTTTTAGTGATACCTGCCCTAGAGTTCAGTGGCTCCTGTCTTCTTCATTACTTATACATAAAAATATACATTAACCTCTTCTCAAACTTGAGGAAGTTGTTGTATCTGCTGGTGCAGGTGACTCTTCCCTGTGAGACCTTGCCCAGGTCTGTGGCTTCCTTCACATCCAGCTGGTGCAGGTGACTCTTCCCTGTGAGACCGTGCCCAGGTCTGTGGCTGTCTTCACATCCAGCTGGTGCAGGTGACTCTTTCCTGTGAGACCGTGCCCAGGTCTGTGGCTTCCTTCACATCCAGCTGGTGCAGGTGACTCTTCCCTGTGAGACCGTGCCCAGGTCTGTGGCTTCCTTCACATCCAGCTGGTGCAGGTGACTCTTTCCTGTGAGACCGTGCCCAGGTCTGTGGCTTCCTTCACATCCAGCTGGTGCAGGTGACTCTTCCCTGTGAGACCGTGCCCAGGTCTGTGGCTGTCTTCACATCCAGCTGGTGCAGGTGACTCTTCCCTGTGAGACCGTGCCCAGGTCTGTGGCTGTCTTCACATCCAGCTGGTGCAGGTGACTCTTCCCTGTGAGACCTGGCCCAGGTCTGTGGCTTCCTTCACATCCAGCTGGTGCAGGTGACTCTTCCCTGTGAGACCTGGCCCAGGTCTGTGGCTTCCTTCACATCCAGCTGGTGCAGGTGACTCTTCCCTGTGAGACCGTGCCCAGGTCTGTGGCTTCCTTCATATCCAGCTGGTGCAGGTGACTCTTCCCTGTGAGACCGTGCCCAGGTCTGTGGCTTCCTTCATATCCAGCTGGTGCAGGTGACTCTTCCCTGTGAGACCTTGCCCAGGTCTGTGGCTTCCTTCACATCCAGCTCCTTATTTCTGCTGACCTCACTTTATTTCACTCAGCCTTCCTTATGGTAGTGTGTGTTCCTTCACGGTGTACTCACCTATTTGTACTCACCTAGTTGTGCTTGCGGGGGTTGAGCTTTGGCTCTTTGGTCCCGCCTCTCAACTGTCAATCAACTGGTGTACAGATTCCTGAGCCTACTGGGCTCTATCATATCTACATTTGAAACTGTGTATGGAGTCAGCCTCCACCACACCACTGCCTAATGCATTCCATCTGTTAACTACTCTGACATTGAAAAAGTTCCTTCTAACGTAGGTGTAGGGAAGCTCTGGTGTCAGCTGAGAAACTTCCTGTGTTATTGTACTGGACTGTTCTCACACTTATCATTGTCTGTGTGACTTTCTCCTTTGTGCAGCCTGATCCCCTCTTGGTCTACCCACATCATCTTCCTAATGTGACCACACAGTAGTTCAGGGTGATCTGTAGTCTTGGGCTCTGTAGCGTTGTCACGCTGCTTCTCCACTGCTCTCTCCATACTTGTGTGTTCATTCCTCTCTTGTATGTATATTGTGTTTCTCCTCTCTTTTGTGCTCCTTACATTTCTTCCCTGCCTTTCTACTCCTTTCTGCCTCTAAGCAATATTCACTTGGTTCCTTCATCTTCATGGGGCGGCATAACGCTTCCTTCAACTTCTTTGCATTTGCTAGTGTGGAGTCCATCAGTGTCGTGTCAGTGTAGTGACACTACAGTGTAGTGTCCATCAGGCTTTGGGTTTTTCTCGGATTTTTATTTCCTATTGCATTTTCTCTAAGACTTCTCTGATCTTTTGGTACTCTCCTTTATGGAGAGTTAACTTTCCACTCTTCTCCTCTCTTTCTCTTACCTGTCTTCATAACGATTACATAAACAAAGACCAATTCTCAATGGTGATTTGTCCCATTGGTATTTTATGCTACATACCTTTAATGTTGACATCTGTGTGTGTGACGTTCAAGACCAGCCTTCCTGATTGGTCTCTCTTCCCAGTCTCTGTGCTTCCTCCCTAGCATCTTAACTTAGGTAGTTCCGTTCTCCTTCTTCCACCAGCTTTGCTCTCCATATATATCTTCTTCCTCTCGAAAATCCATTGATTACCAGCCAATTTCCCCATAATTCAGGTCTCCCATTACCAGTAGTGTTTTTGTCTGGATCCTCTGTGATTCTGTGATTGGGGATTGTGTGGGGGATTAGGGGTTGTGAATCAGCGCTACAACCATTTTTCTCTCTACTCGACTCCAGCGACATAGTCTTCATCATTTGTTTCCTTCTCAACACTAATCTCTCCCTCACGTCTCTTTTTGACCAGCAGTACCACTCTTCTTCCCCCTCCTCTGCTGGCTTCTCTTCTTCCCCCTCCTCTGCTGGCTTCTCTTCTTCCTCTCTGGTATTGTCTGGCAATATTTCATTAGTGATGAATTGGAGATACAACTTCGATTAGGAACTTGGGGATTGGGAAGAGTGTGTGTGTGTGTGTGTGGTGGTACTAGAGGCCGACAGTAGAGACGACTAGAGTGAGTGTGGACAAGGATGAACGTGGAGGGAGGACTACCAACGACCTGGGAGCATGGGGGAGAAGATGTAAAATAACACTTAATATTCTTGCGGCAAAATAATAAGAAAGACGAGAATAAACTAAAAATCATGAGCCGGCGTCACATGGGGACACTTTTGTCGTTGACAGTTTCTAAAATAAACAGAAAATAAATTTCCCAGAAGAATCATGGACTTTATACTTTGCTTTATTTGAATTCTCGTTAGCGAAACACCTGACCTTGGCGTAGCTCCTTGAGCTTGGCGCTGACTGAGGGG